CGACCTAGGTCAACGCCGGGTATCTCCGCTACGGGAGAGCCCGAGCGGCCTTTGAAGGTCCCAAGATGTTTGTATGTCGGATTAACTTCCCCATTTCGGGTCAACAGGCCACCTTTGCCGGGACAGGAGAGGCCCTTTGTAGTGCAAGCGAAGAGCCGCCAGGTCAACTAACGCCTTGGGCCGAGGAACCTCGTGGGGAACCCGGGGCCCCCCGCGTGCTGCGCGGAGGAGGCCTCTGACTTGCGGAGTGTTTGAGGCCTCCAAAGTCCCCCCCTCCCCCAACGTGAATACGGCACTGCATGCATGTCCTGACTTCCTACAATGGCTTCATGTTATCGTCCTCAGGCCATTCGGGCACACTGCGGCGTTGCGTACATCGTTCGCGCGAAATAATCAGGCACTACAAAGTAAACAATGATTAATGTTACGGACACAGCGACGTACTCGTGCCACTCTGCGAACCGCACTTGCTCGAGGTGAAAGCCGCAGTCGCATGCGATGCACGGCGTGCATGTTTAATTAATGGCTGGGTCGGATCGATTCAAAACAGCCGTAGGACGTCAGTTGCTGACGTCACTTCTTGTCGAAAGGGGCCATCGGAAGTCAAGCGACGATGCCGGAGCGCACCACTGGGATTACTTCATGTGAGTGGTGCCAGCGGTGCAACGCTGGTGGTGCTTCGGAACCGATTCTCACAATCTACCCTGACGATCCAATCGATGGGAAGGGCATGGAACGGAAGAAGAATGCGGCATGCCCATATTCCCAGACAGGTGGCGCCGTTTCTTCCGCTGGTACGTTAAGCCGCGCTGTGAGCTGATCCCAGTGATTGGCTCTCCGCCTACATGCTCAGCTCCGGGACACTCATGAGTATTTCCCCTCGGTGGCCGCCAGCGCTGGAGAAGCCGCGCGGCCGCTGCCAAGCCCATCAGCCTGGTCAGGCGGCGCTGGGGTGGACCGCACCCCGCCCACTGGTCGCATTCCACCACCAAGGCAAACCTCGGCCGCCGCCTGCTGCACACCTGCACAGCCGTCTGGCAATGCGCTCGGTGTGGACGCCATCAGTTGGGCGGCGACCCCCGCGCGGTACGTGACGTTCGAGAGCGATGACCGCCGGCACAAAGGCCCGACCCCCGCGGCCCAATGGACGCGCACGCCGCGTGGGCGTGCCTCCGACTAATATACGCCAGCGCGGCGCACTCGGTCCGGCCCGATTCCGAGTGGTTCGGCCGCGTCATCGGCCGGCCGGCGTACGCTCGTAACGGCGCAACTTGGTCCGTCGCCTCACTTGCGGGCGTCGGCGCCGGGCGGGGCGGAAGGGGAGGGGCGGGTCCTTGCTCGTGGCGGTATTTTGTTGGCACGTCGGACGCTGGGCGCGATCGAAGGCCACGCTCCGTTGCGTGCAGGGTGAGAAGGGAACGCGGCGAGCAGAAGGCGCGCCCCGGCGAACGGGGAGAGTTGAGTCATCAGTCGCGGCGTTCGTCCTGAGATGGCGAGGTGGGGCGCGGCCGACCAACCTCCGGCGCTCACGCGATGCGCCTCCGAACTCCTGCAGCCGAGTGTCGCCGCTTCCGGGGCGGGTATCCCGCCATCGACCGACTTGGACGGCGGCGGCGGCGGCGGCGGCGACCGGCCGTGACCCGGCATCACTGGAGGCCTTCCAGACGGTGTGTCACAGGCGTCTGCCGGCCTGCGCGCCTGATATATCCGCCGACGGCTGACGTCAGTGTTTACTGCAGCCGGCGGCCGTGTACACGGCGCGGCCGGCGCGTCCCCCTGCGCCCTCCCCCCGCCAACCCCAGTCGGCGCGCCCAGTGACCCCGAGCGACCCCGAGCCGGCGACCCCGGACCGACGCGGCGCGACCGGACACCGAATCGGCCTGATTCGGCGCGCACTCTGACCGGCGCGTGACCTTTGACTGCGGCGTCCGCTATCTAGAGCGCGCCGTCAGCTTGCGCGCCAACTGAATGGTGCCGGGTCAAAGGACAGGGCCTGGGGTGTGATGGCGCCGGCTGCAGACGCGCGACCGCCGCCCCGCCCCGCCCTCAAGAACCTCAGCCCGGAGGAGGACTTCGGCGCGGCCTCGTTGGGGCCCAGTCGGGCAGTGCAGCCTGTCGAAGCTCGCTTCCGGCGGGGTCGCCGGAGGCCGCGGGGGCGGAGTTCGCGTCAGGCCGCGGAGTCACGTCCTGCGGACGAGGTCCAGCACTGGAGGTCACCGCCGGCCGGCCGGGTCAGACGGCGCTGGTCCGGCACGCCCGTCCCGCTCCAGGTCCCCAGCGGGCGGCCCGCGCACGTCGCGCGTCACAGACGGAGCGGACGTGGGCGGACGTGGGAGTGGACGTCCGCGGCGTCGTGGGCGCGCCGCGTACGCCGCCGCCGCGCCGGCATAAACACTCGGCTGATGTTTCACACATCGGCCGGCGCGCTCCGATTCCAAACGGACCGCCATCAACAGCGCAGGTCACACTGAACGCGCCGTATAAATAAACAGCGGGCCTCGGACGCGGCCGGCGCCCGTCGGCAGCTGCGGCCGCCGCGCGGGCCGTGCTGAGATCACCGGGGAGGGAGAGAGAGAGGCGACAGCGCCGCCGCCGCCGGCGTTCGTGAGCGGCTGGCGATTACCCGGCCCGCGGATCGCCAAATCCCGGATCCGCCGCTCCTCCTGAGCCGCGGCCGCCGCTGCATCCTGGTGCTGCACGCGACATGCGCCGCAGCAAGGCCGCGTGCCGCCGCCGCCGTGCGTGCCGCGGCGACGCGTGACGCGGCGGCGCGCGGCCGCCGCCGGCTCGCGCGGCCGCCCCTGGCGGCCGACGCCGCCGACCGGTCGCGTGACGGGCGGTCGCGATCAATGAAGGAGTGTGAGGCGCCGCCGCCGCGCCGGCCCCGGCCCGGGGGCAGAGAGCCGCCCGTCGCCGGGGGATGGTGCGGCGGCACGCTCGCCTGAAGCACGGGAGCCGGGGGTTAGCAGCTGGCGCCCGTCGGCGGCTGCCGTGCTGGCTGCAGGGCGACGGGGCCGGAACTCCATCTGAGACACGTGTGCCAACGGCATCAGCGGGCCTTATTGGTCATTCTCGTTCAGTCAACACAAAATGCACACATTTTTGTGATTGTTGCAGCTTTTTATGCGGTGAAGCCTGTGAATTCATGCCCTTTTTAGTTTCCTTTTGCGGTGCTCCCCAGTCTGCCATTTTTCTACCAGTCATGCCCTAGTCTACTTTCACAGCTTCGGCTGCCTTTTGTTCCCTGCCGCCTCCGCCCTGTCCGCAGTCCGCGTACACCACACGCGTGATAGCCGTGCCGTCTCCGTCCACACCTGCTATTGCCGCAGCATCCCTCACACCCGCCCCCTGCGTTGCAGCGATGGTGCCGGTCCCGATGAACGGTCTGGCCGTGTCGACGTCGGCGGCGGCGGCGGCCGTGACGCGGACCTCGCCGCCGGGCCACGGGCCGGCCGGCGCGGGCGCCTCGCCGATGGCGGCGCTGCAGGAGCTGATGCCGCCCGGCTCGCCGCGCAACAGCGGCAGTCCCGGCTCCTCGACGCGCTCCGTGTCGAGGAGCTCACAGCACTCGCCCAACTCGTGTGAGTGAGGCGCGGGGCGGACCGGCGGGTGTGGGGGTGTGGAGTGCGGGTTAGCTGGTGTCGGGGCACGAGTGGGCTTGTGTCGGGGCACGAGTTAGCTGGTGTGGGGGCACGAGTTAGCTGGTGCCGTGGCACGAGTTGGCTGGTGTTGAGGCACGAGTTGGCTGGTGTGGGGGCACGAGTTAGCTGGTGTGGGGGCGCGACGGCTGGTGGGTTGTGAGTGTCAGCGAGTGGGATGGAGCGGGTTCAGAGCATAGGCGATGGCGGTAGCTGTTGCTGTTGTACCGGCCTCCCTGTGTTATGCTGTACTGCTCTGCGCGACAACACGGTGACAACAACATCGAAACACTGCGAATTATGTCGGTGATGAGACATAAGTTGAAAATTGCCCATGGTTATAAAACGCGGAGCATAGAAATTGAAACGCGGATGGCCGAATTTTCGGTTAGCATTGCCACCACTGGCGGATAGGATTTTCCCCCATAACTTGTCAAATACAAATAAAGTCGTTCTGTCGGACGAGCGGAGTCGTGGCCGCCCACGCGATGTGCGCGCTAACGGGACGGGCGCCGTGAGCTCCGACCAAGGCTGCAGCGGCGCCCCGGGAACGCAGCTTAGGATTAGCGTCCAAGACCAGAAGCCGTCCATCGCCATCCAAACATGGCCTCTGGTTTAGAGTGACGCGGCCTGTGCACGCCGTGCACCACTGATACGGTGCACGCCATCCATTGTCCTCCCAGCACTCTCCGAGTTGAGCCGCGGGGACGCCCAGCGGCGACGGTCCAGCAGTCAAGCGGCGCACGCTGGACGCGCGCCGCTCCAACGCGGGGCTGCCCCCTAGCCGCCGTCGCCGCGATCCCCGCCGTTAGGAGCGCCCACCGGTAACCGCTGGGCCGGCCGGACGCCCCGCTCTCTCACGGCGCCGCGCCGCCGACCCGCACAGGAGATCGGACTATCGCGTGCCGGCGCGTGCAGTGATTATTGCCGCGCGTGCGGCGGCGCTCGTCGCGTGTGCGCCGGCGCCGGCGGGCGCGCTGCCGTGCGTGCGCGTCCGACGACCGGTGCGTGCGCCGGATTCGTCGCCACTCGGCCGTGCGTGCTGCGGGCGGGGAGGGGGGGGGGGGGGGGCGGGAGACGGCCGGGCGCCCGCTGACGCGCCGCCCGTCGGCCGCGCGCGCTGAGGGAGCGGCGCTCGGGCGTGATCGATGCGGAGCCGCCCCCGTCTGCCGACACCCGCCAGCTGTTCGTCGGACGTTCGCTGGCCCCGTGGCGCAACCGCCCACACCGTTACACGTGCGGCGTCGCCACGTTTGCCGAATGGAATATGTGTATAATGTATGCTGTGATACAGCAACAAAGTAATCGACAGCAATAAACGAGCTGTCATGCGCCAGCGTGTTGGTGTGATAACAACAGCGATGCATCTAATGCTTGTATATAGTAGATGATATAGTGACATGTAACCCGTTGACGCTTGGTGTGTGGTGCATTTAGTGTGGAGGACTCCATCAATTTAAGTGCACCAACGTTTGGAGGTTCTTGTAACTCCTCGCTTGGAAATGACTTGTAACCCCTCGCCGCCCCACCCCCAGCCTACAGCAGCTAGCGTGCACTGCTCACGGGCCTCCCTCACGCCCACCGAGCGTGTGGTGGTGACGACACTCTTTCCTCCGGCAGCGGGTAGCGCGCCACCACCTGGCGCCGTGTCGGCCGGCCGGCGCTCCTCCACCTCGCGCCACGCCGCCTCTGAGGGCGTGGTGGCCGAGCAGGGCGTGGCCACCTCCACCGTCACCGACCCCGTGCCGAACGCGCTGCTCAAGTGCACGCTCTGTCAGGAGCGGGCTGGAGGACACGCACTTCGTGCAGTGCCCCTCCAAGAGCCACCACAAGTTCTGCTTCCCGTGCTCGCGCGAGAGCATCAAGCGACAGGGCGTCGGCTCGGAGGTGAGGCAACCCCGCTGTGCGCCGCGCGCCGCGCCGACCGGCGCGTCGCCTTCGACGGCCGCATCACGGCGCGTCAAAGGCGACGCGGCCGCCTCGCCGTGCGGGTAACATTATAGATGAGACGGCCGATGGGTTGTCGGAGGCGCCACCGGCCGCGGCAGCGAGCGACCCGTTGGCGGGATGGACGTGGCCCGTAACGACTCGGTATGGGCGGCGACGGCGGGCCGGCCGGCACGTGCCCCGTCCGGAGCTGGCACGCCGCCGCCGCCGTCGCCGCGGGTCGACTGCGAAAGGCCGTCTCCGCGCGCCGCCTCGGGAGGATGCGGCGGCCGACGCTCCGTTCAGGGACGAGAGGTCAGCTTCCGGGCTGATCCCGGGTTGAAGGCCGGCCGTGGCGCGCGCCGCGCCGACCGCCGCTGGGTATATATATCGAGGTCGACGCCGGAGACGCCGCAGCGCCTGGCTTCGAGAGCAGACGCGCCGTTGTCGCGGAGCGTGCCCATCCGATCAGGCTGGTGTTCGCGCGCCCGCGCGCCGCTCGCGCCCCGGGTCGGCGGCTCCTCCAGACCTCGCCTGACCAGGCCCTTATCTGCCGGAGCCCCCCCGGGCGCGCGGGCCATCGCGACATTACCGCCCGGGGGGCAATAAATGGCGGCCGCGTCGCCAACGGGCCTCCGCGCCGGTCACGCGGGGCTGCGCTGACTCTGCCGCGCTCGTCGATGGTGGACCGACGGGCGCCAGCGGCGCGATGTGGCGTGACTGGAGGCCGTGCCGGCCGCCGGCCGCCAGCAGCTCGGCCCATCGGCGGACGGCGCCGCAGATGCGCGCGAGCACGCCGCACATCAGGAATTCTATAAATACGTCACGGGTGAAATACGTGCGCGGTGAAATGCGACGGCGATATCTCGATGATTAGAGCTTGTGGATATCGTGGTGGTTAATGGAGCGGCAAGGGCAGAGTGAGAGTTGCGGTAGGAATGCAAGTTGTGAAGTGGGTCTCTCGTCTGCTGACTTTATTCTTCCGCCGTCGCGTCCTCCGTCGAGTGGCTGCTGTCTTATCCGCAGTCGCCTCGTAACTCCATCCTGGCTATGAAAAGCCTGCTCTCTAGTTTTCATCGACGGGCTTGGGACCGCAACGAGCACGAGATCATGTGGGGAGGGGAGGGGGAGGGGTAGCTAGCTAGCTTAGCTGGCCGGGCACAGTGCCCGCGGACGTGTGCTGGCCCATCCTCACTCGCTCGTCGCCGAGGGGAGGGGCCGGGCGCGCGTGACAACTCACAGCACCTCAGCTTGGCAGCGCGGCCAGCCATGCGCGTGCCGTCGACGCGCGTGTGCGTGCGCCCGCTTCCTGGTGCGCGGCACGTTGGCACGCGCCGCAAACAGCCCTCGGCCGGGGGGCGAGGGGGGGGGGCTGGCAGCGCGGCGGCCGGCGCGCCAGCTGGCGGCGGCGGGTCGGGCGCGGCGCCAGGCGCGCGGCCGGACGCGCGGCCGGAGCTGACGTCGCCATGCGTCCCGGCGTTCGCCGGTGGCGTGATGTTGATCCGCGCCGGGGCAGCCCGCACCGGGCGGAGCCGATAACCGACCGGTCGGCGCAGCGTGTGTTGCCGCTGCGATACCGCCGGCGCCGCCCCCCCCCCCCCCCTCCGGCGGCCACCCCGGCACCCCCGGCCGGCTTCGAGTTGCGTGGCTGTTTATGGGCGGCGGCGGCGACGGCGGCGGACGGGGGGCGGGGTATACAGCGCTGCTTTGTGTTTTGGTGGTGTGCGATATGTCATTGTGCGATTGGTCCAGTGTGTGATGTGTTGGTATCGCTGCCACTGGTGGCGGGATGGTAAGGATGTCCTGTGTCGTGCGTGATGCCTTCGTTGATTACAGAATCGCGGCCGGAATATGTCTTCCGTACGCTTCTGCCCGCCATCGACGCCTGACTGTCCCTCCCTCCGCCAGGTTGTACTGCCCCAGCGGGCGAGAAGTGCCCCGCTGCAGGACTCGAACGTGCCCTGGGCCTTCATGCAGAACGAAATCTCCACCATCCTCGGCGAGGACCCGCCAGTCAAAAAGGAGCGAGAACCGTGGACGTGGGCGGGCGATGCCCAGTTGTTGAGCTCTTGGGAGGCGCTGCGGAAGCCGAAGCAGCCCGGCCATGACTCGCTCACCCCTGATGGGCGGAGGGCGGCGGGCAGGCGCGGCAGGCGCGGGCAAGTTGACGTGATGTTGGACTGGCGGTGCTTGCTTCATAATGCTGCACGTTCTGTAGATACGGGAGAGATCGGTTTGTAGGTTCGCGCGAAGCAAAGCATCCAGTTGGTTTGTGAAGGCCTTTCGCAGGCGGGGTCACATGACAAAGACTGGCATCGATGTACACTATTTCGCTCTTCTAGGGTTAGGATCGCTTGAACTTTTTATAGGTGGTGAATTGCCTAGTCAGCACGTTTGTATCAGATTCGATATCTGTCCTGGAACTCGTACACTCGCGATGTGTGTAGAAAGGACGTGTACAGAGCAGTCCGCCGTTGTCTGGAATCCGGACATTTGTTGTCGGCGCTGTGAGCGGCCACGGCCCGCCACTTGGCGGCCGTTGCCAGCCTCCCGCCCCGCCCGTGTTTGCCATTTGCTTGTCCGCCATTTTGATTGCACTTCTTTTCATTGCTCTGCGTTTGGTCGGCGACCGCCCCGCACGGCTCGTCGGTGCTTGTTCTCTTTGGGACCACTGAGGTGATTTTTTGAATCGGTGACCGATCTCACCACGTGTGGATACGCAGGCCCTTGATTAGCCCTTGCCCTACCCCGAATAGCTCGTAAGGCCACCGCTTTGTACCGGTGCTTTCTTATCGTGGATCACGGCTTGTTTGCGGCGCCTGTGGCGCGGCTGCGACGGCGACGCGCCTCCTTGATTTGCATTCGAGTTTTTAATAGCGATGTTGGCGTTTATTTGGTGCCGCATGGCGGCCGCGCGCCGCCAGCGGCTGTTGTGATCGACGGTCGGCAGCGACGGCCACAAGTCAGTACCAGCGGGCAAACTGCGGACCGTCATGTCTGGCTGGAGCCGCCGTCCGCCGACGCGCGCAGTCGACTCGACCTTTGACCTGGCATGGACGACAGGTGACAATGATTTCAGAGTAACACTCTTCATCGGCTGTTTTGCTTTAGAAATAAAGAAGAGTATGGCTGGATGTGCGAATCTTTGGTCCTGGTTCGCGGCTGCGCGCGGGATATCGCGGTAAATCAACATTGCACGACCTACGTCAATACTCCGCTTCCGCAGCAGTACGTAACGCAGATTGCCGACTGAATGCGACACTGAGCGCTGAACGCGACACAGCCAATATGCTAGTGCATTTCTACCACAAATTCACCGAGACGGAAGACCACATTTTCGAAAGGCATGCGCTGTTGCCCTTAGTGCTTCCAACGGCCGATGGTGGGGGGGGGGGGGGGGGCAAAGAGATGCGATGCCCCGTCCATGCTGCCTGCTGAACTCGCAGAGTGAAGCTCGGGTAACCGAGTCTGGTGACAAGGGTCAAGACTGCTGTACATGGTCACGTGAGGTCGTGACAGGACAACAAGGCTGCTTGCCAATATGATGGTGCTCGTGATGGTTGTGACAAGAAATATCTAAACAGTGACCTTGATACGTGACACGCTAAGCGTTATCGCGTAGAGGTTGTCCCACCGGCGTGGAAAACGCAGTGAAATGCAACAAGTGGCGCCAAGGAAATCACAACACGCGCGCGCCTGCGGCGTCGGAGGCTTTAGTCACGCTTGATCATGTGCGCAATCAGAGGTGCAGCGTTCTGAGAGCGTGCAACGGCGTTCGAAGGATGTGGAGAGCAATGCCTGATGTGGACATCAAGTTCAATTTATGATAGCGGGCAACCGCTGCTTTCAGCGCGCAGCAGCACGACTTGGCTTTAATCGCCCCAACCGCTGACGTCATAGCTTCGTGACATGACGTAATTTGGGCGCGTAATCGTCCGTAAGTAGGCCTTATAGTTCAAGCAAAGGCTGGCGAAAGCCAGGATCCAGTTCATTTTGACGGATTCACAGCACCATACAACACTGCATCACGAACGACACTTACGCTAAAGGTGAACGGGGCCAGGCCAACCGGGCAGGAAGTGCAACACTGCACGCAATGACTTGCAAACGGTGCAGTTCGTCAAACAGTCACATGAACGGGCCGATGGCTTTGCCGCCTACTTCTTTGTTGCACCTTTTGAACTTGGTTTAATTTTCATAAATGACCTGGTCGAAAAGTGCACTTTCGGCAGATGCACAACAACGGAAAAGCTATTGACAACAAAACGCTCTTAAGCGAGCGCATCAATACTATGGCCAGTGCAAGTTGCACCACACCTTTCGAACCAAGCGCTCTGCCTTTTCAGGCAAGCAGATGCAAGCTAAATGACCACACTCTGTCGCGCTTACCTTATTCATCAATCTGGGCCAAAGAGTAATGCCCCCAGTCATGCAGAGGTTTACAATCCGCTTGCATGTGTAAAGCGCATGTTTCCGTGAGCTCCGCATAGCACTGACAACACCTCACATTCCGTCCTAAGTGCAGGTCACTAGCTAGCAATAGCCGTACAAGCGTTGCCTCACACAGACCGATGTGATGGTGATGCAGGCTGTAAAGCTGGAATAGACCTCGGTGGGAAGAGAGGCATAGTCGAGTAGCGGTAAGAAGCAGAATCTGACGTAAGCAGTTAATGTTTTAAGCTTCTTGTTTTGCGGCACTGTGAGTTATTTGCCAAACATAATTGGCGTTACATGCACCAGGAGAAATTGGTTAACGACATATGTCAATCAATCATCGGGATATGTCTCGAAAATACTCGCCGTTTTTTTGTACATCCAAATGGAGTTGCTGATACGTACATCGCGATGATGATATTGCCCGCGATTGTTGCGACCCAAAGATGACTTAGTTTCTTGCCTTATCCAGCGTCTCTTGGTATTTTAAAAGCCGATGATCTAAAAAACAAACAGAACAGAGCAATCAATCCCTCTTGCCGTCAAGGGAGCAGTGACAGCAGGAGAGCACCCGTCTGGCGGGAGCCTCTGCCACCAGACGGCGTCCCGCTCTGGAGCCCGTTGAGACCGCCGCCGCGCTGGTGCTGAAGATGCAGCGACCCGGCCCAGCGCTGGCCGCCAGGCCCGGCCCAGCGCTGGCCGCCGGGTCCGGCCCAGCGCTGGCCGCCCGGCCCGGCCCAGCGCTGGCCGCCCGGCCCGGCCCAGCGCTGGCCGCCCGGCCCGGCCCAGCGCTTGCCGCCGGACCCGGCCCAGCGCTGACCGCCGGGCCCGGCCCAGCGCTGGCCGCTGGACCCGGCCCAGCGCTGGCCGCCGGACCCGGCCCAGCGCTGGCCGCCGGACCCGGCCCGTCAGGCCATCACAGCTCAGTGCGCGCCGCGGCCCGGACCAACGCCTCGCGCTGCGGCGCAGGAGACACCAGCGGGAGGCCGGCCAGCTGGCAGCGCGGGCCCCGACCGACGCGGTGCCAGATCGGCCGGAGCGCCGCGAGAGGGGTCTGGTGCGCCGAATACGCCTCCGAACCGTGCCAGCACCGCCCGTACCGATCACGGCGCGGTGGAGCGTCGGAGTGCCTCCCGGGACGAGCCTTGCCAGGTCCGCGCCGTACCGATCACAGGCGGGGTGGAGCGTCGGAGTGCCTCCCGGGACTGACGAATTGGACACCCGGCGGCTGGAGATGTTAACCTGGCCGCAGCAGATCTGCTCGTTTGTTTTGCGGAAAATAAAGCCGTTCCGCAACACTTCCTCGAGTGCGCCAAGATGCAATGTATGCGCCTGCATGCGCAGGGGAGACGGCTGAAAGCATGCAGGTCTGGAGCCCACTATTCAAGCACGAAATCCCTTTCAGCTCAGTATTTCTTCTTGCCCCCCGGCTCCCCGATATAAGGGCCAGGGGCTGGGTCTCCTTCCCGTTACTGAAGAGGAACTTTCCGCCTTTGTGTGTGTGTTTTAAACGGAAACAGCCAGATTGTGAGCACTGTGAGATCTACACGCATATGCGTGAGTTACACTCGCCTGACGGCCGTTTTTCTCGCCTTCTCAGGGCAGAACGGCTCACCGGCCATTCGCACCAACAAAACAAAACAACAATCATACCCGCGCCATTTGAAAACTGGTGCTTGGTTCAAAGTCACATCCCTTTGACACCACTTTTTAAAACACCACACCGCTGTGTTTGATAGAACGGGAATTCCGCGTGAAGCAGAAACTTTCGTGGCAACATTTCAACTCTCCGGTGTCAAATTGTTTCAATCAGGGTCTTGCCAAACTCTTACACCTGTGGATGAGGCATGCCACCCAGCATTAGTAATTACGCTATCGGTGAAGGAAAACACTATGGATAGCTGTGCTGCACTGCGTTTGCAAATTAACTTACGCTTCGCCGTGCTGTGCACATCGTGCATATCAAGCGCTACTGTGTGTGCAAACACGTGGTTTCTCACGACAACATAGCTGTTTTCAACACGCGCATTTTCAACACAACATCGTGATGTCTCTCAGGATTTCTCAGGGTACCTCGATGTCGTCCAATTGCAGATAGCTTCGCCAAACGCGCCGTTGCGAGAGCATCGTGTATTGCTCGCAATACAGCAACCACATTCCGAGACATGCTCGAGGCCTGGAGCAACGTTGACGTCATAATCGGTAGTAACACAGCGGGAGGCGAGTGCATGGCACAATACGCATCTCTCACAGATGGCAGTCACAGAGGAGTGCATCCACAGCACCTTCGGTTGTTGGAATTTGTAGTGGGCAGGCGCTAATCTCGAGATCAGGTCAATGTACTGCAGCACGGTAGCGACAGACCGCAGTGCACAAGTGTTACCAATGTGTGTAATGGTCCCTTATTGCAGACATGACTCGGGCCTCGATGAGCTATCGCGAATCCAGGGCATGTTACGAGGCTGGGCCCCTGAACGTCAAATGCGCCGCCGTGATCTCGACGGAGAGCTCATTACTCGTGCCTTACGAAAGGCGAGGTCTCCACGCTGACACAACGTGCGGAAAGCAAAGAACTTGGCCGCCAAAGTCGGAGTGGTGGGTTCAGCAGTTAGAAAACTATTCAGGAAAGCCTTCGGGATTTTTTAGGCGCGGTCGTCGGGTGAGGCAAAAACTCCAAGCCGCTTTATTTCTCAGTTTGAGGAAAGCTGAT